CTCTCTGGAAACCTTAAGTCTTCTCCTCATCCTGAAGTTCTATAAGTTTTCTGTGGAGCTCCTAGAGAAGGGTCTTTTTAACTTTTATCTTACTTGTCAGATTTTTTTTTTTAACTCTATGCCAATATCTTCCTTCAGCTCTGGGAAATTCTCTTCATTACTCCTTTGACTACCGTACTCTACTCATAATCTCTATACTCTCAATATTTGACATTATAATTCAAGTACTGAGTTAATCTAAAATTCCAGGTAGATTCATTTAAATTTTGTTTACCCTTGGAAAAAGTTTCAATTTTGTGAACTATTATAACTTTTTTTTTCATTTTCTTCCAAAATGATGTAAGTAATTATATCTAACAAATCTTAAAAAAATTTTAGTTGCCTTGGATATTTTCTAAAATTAAGGGGACTCATAAGCAAACATGTATTTTTAGAATATCAGAAACAATAATTAAGAAAAGACAGAGGTGTTGGTTGGGTTCCTTCATAATTTAATTCCCAAAACCAGAGAAAACATAAAACACATAATGGTGCTACCATTACACCTACTACCTAAGCAGGTAGCAGCCTAGAACCCTTATTATGGGATAAGTGCTGGGAATAAGGTCCCGCAACAAACCTTAAGTAGTTGCTCTTATTCCCTCTTTACCAGTAAGAGGTTAAGCAACCTTCCCAGGATGCTTGACAAGGCAGTGATGGAGCCAGGATTCAAACTCAAACCCATCTAGGCAAAGCTACACTACCCTAGAAAGGACAGTGCCAAGTGGGCTGTGGCAAATATGATCTAAAATTAAAGAATGGAATGAGGACTTTTGAAAGTACAGACCAAATTCTGACCTTGTTCTCAGTCCAAAAGCAACTCACTATTCCATGTATTTGGAATAGATATTCCATAAAAATGCATTTTCTAGCTAATTCATGCTTCCTAGAAGTCATTTTATATATAACACATTCCTCTGCCTTAAAGTGATTATACCAAACACAATGGAACCATACGTTCTGCTTCAGGACCATTACTTGTCATACCTATCAGAGTAGCTAGCAGAGTGTCCCCCAGAAGGAATGTTGCTGTTGCTGTTGCTGTTCTCTTGCTTCACTCCTGTGAACAGAACTGTCTCTTTCTTGTCTTACTATGTCCTATTCCTGTTGACTTGGCCTCCCTTTTCTTGTCCTATCAAATTTCTGCTTATTATCTATATTGGAACATTTCTATTACATTTTATCTTGATACTCCAAAGGGGAAGTCATATTCAGGCAAGTGAGATCTTATCAAAGAGGAAGTCATATTCAGGCAAGTGAGCTCTTACCAAATTAATGTGACTCCCATGTTACTCCTCAATTTCAGTCACCGCCCCCCACTGGAAGGAATCATAAGAAACTTAGCAATGGTTACCCTTGGGGAAGTGGGCTGGCAGAAAGAGGAGAAAGTGGAGGGCCCTTCCCCTTCTTTAATATCTTCAATTAATTGGGCTTACTTAATGTTGTATGCATTTTTAGTTYTACCTTAAGAATATCAACAGTGGTTACCTGAAGAGGGAGACTGACCCCCCGACCTCCCACATTTTTTTAGTTGTAGTTGGACACAATACTTTTATTTTATTTAGTTATTTTTATCTGATGCTGAGGATCAAACCCAGCGCCTCCCACGCTCTAGGTGAGTGCTCTACCGCTGACCCACAACCCCAACCCTTCCCCCGTTTTTTGTATTAAAAAACAATGTGACAAGAACAATATTGATACCTCTCTGTGCATCACACCCATAACATAAATACATACATAAGTATAAATTCAAAATTATTTTTAAAAACATAACATTGCTATGGTAATTACTTAAGAAATTTAAACTAATTTTAATAAAACCCCAAGTAGTTAAGTATCAAACAAATTCTGTCATGGTCACGTGTGTGTGTGTGTGTGTGTGTGTGTGTGTGTGTGTAAAACTATAACTTACATTTCAGGATATAAAATGAAATTTTCCAATACTTTTCTAAAAATTACTTATTGACCTACACTGTGAAATCTCACTTCACACTTTTTCCCTAAAAAATTATAACCCAATAACCATTGTATATTAAAAGGCAAAGGTCCCAATATCAAATTTCATTAAGACTATAATCAGACCAGGCGTGATGGTGCATGCTTGTAATCCCAGTGGCTTGTGAGGCAGAGGCCAGAGGATCGAAAGTTCAAAGCCAGCCTCAGCAATTTAGGAAGGTACTAAGCAACTCAGTGAGACCCTGTCTCTAGTAAAACACAAAATAGGGCTAGAGATGTGGCTCAGTGGTCAAGTGCCCTGAGTTCAATCCCTGGTAAACTACCCCCCACCCTGCCAAAAAAAAAAAAAAAAAAAAGAAAAAAAAAAGACTACAATCAAAGAACCTCTGTTAAGTATTGATACTTATTTCTTCAAATTTATTTTATTACTTTGAAAAAAGACAGTTTGGGAAAGCCTATTATTTAGGCTAAATTTCCCTGAAATTATAGTAAAAAAAGTATCTACTCTACACATAAGGGACTATGTAACAGGTTTGGCATTCCTGATGAAATTTTCCAACTTCTAATATTATTGATGCTATTCAGTATAGATAGTTGATTTTTGTTGGGGCCATAAACTGTTTTGGTTTCTATTTCCTCTCACTTTTTGGCACTCTTCAGGAAGTATATTGAGCATAAGGAAATATGCATCCAAATCAGGATGGGTGTCACCTCACTCTCTCAGTTCTGTCACTCATCATCACAGACTGAGAACTCTTTATTTGGGACTCATAAAGTAGCTGGAATTGTCCCTATCATGCTGATATGATCTCTGTCAGAGTGTGCAGGCAGAGGGGATTCTGAATAAGGTATTCAGCAAAAAAGAGATGGTTTTTGCCTGTAGGCTTAACAGGGGTCATCTAAAGCAAAGGTAATAGCCCAAGACAGCTGGTTGAAGCTGTAGGAAGCCAAGGGGCTAATGAAAACAGAGCTTGGCATGTAGTAGGTACTTAGAAAATACTTGTTGGATATATGCATGAAATGATTCTACTTATATAACACAAGTTATTTGAACAAAATGATATAACATTCTTCTTCAATATATTGTTTTTAAAACATAATATTGCTCATGTGGCTCTGGTCTGCAGGAAAAAATGAAATGAACAATAGCATAGAAGCAGAAATCAGAATAAGCAAGCCAACCCTCAGCTTCCTCTGTCCACAGGTATAAACTGACTTCAAAGCCCACATCTTGTAGAGAAACCAAAAACCTTCTYTGTAGCAATTAACTGTGGGATAATAAAACACGTGATAAAAAAGTTGTCTTTGGGGGTTCAGAATTTAATTTTAGGAAATGAATTTAACTCCTGTGAATTTTCTCCATATCAGATGATCAATTTAATATCTACCCAAGAACCATAATTGACAAGGCTAAAGATAAATCATATGGACATTATCTCTCTTTTCTACTGTCCATGCTAGTAACCTAGTAGCAGATAGCCAATCCCAAAAAACCAAATGCTGAATGTTTTCTCCGATATAAGGAGGTTGATTCATAATGGGATAGGAGCAGAAGCATGGGAAGAATAGATGAACTCTAGATAGGGCAGAGGCGTTTGAGGGGAAGGGAGGGGGCATGGAGTAATTAATGATGGTGGAATGTGATGGACATTACTATCCAAAGTACATGTATGAAGACATGAATTGGTGTGAATATACTATATATACACCAAGAGATATGAAAAATAATGCTCTATGTATGTAATAAGAATTGTAATGCATTCTGCTGTCATATAAATAAAAAATTTTACATTATAAAAAAAATTCACTTTAGCAGACACCAAGAAGAGTCAACAGCTCTTCATGGAATCCCTGAGCTAGCTCTTAAAGGTCATCTGGTTCAATTACCAAAATACAGCCAGAAACTATCTGTCAATCAGAGAACTATATATAGAAGTGAAAGCATACTATTTTATTGCCACAGTATAGTTTTTTTTTAAATCCAAGCCAATACATCAATTATTTCTTAATCCCAATCCATTCTTTGCTGTTAATTTATTAAAATGACTATTATGAGGACATATCACTACCAGAACAGTATTTTAATACTATTAGCATGACTATTTCATGTGAATGTTTTAAATTAAGCAAAACATAAAACTATTAATACTGTATTGCTATTATCTTAGTCTGAATTTGAAGGGAAGATTCTTTTAGTTAGTATAGGTATCCACTTAACAAAGAAACCCTCTCTATGACATATTTCATCTACAAGACTACATAATAAAAGATTAATGCAGCAACTTTAAATATTTTTATGTTTTAAAATCTCACAGGAAGTGCTGAAAATGGGATTACCAATTTCATTTATTTCTTCAACTGTTTTTTCTTCATATTGCACAAATGGATATGATGGCAAATGTTCTTTTTTATGTTAAACTGTGGCTAAGTAGTGTATATAAAAAATTTGCCATACCATATTTTGTGTTAATACAATTCATTATATAAAGGCTATACTTAAAAACATTTACAAAAACACGTTGTAATTCTTTTATGTAAAATATAAGTATCTCAGGCTAATCATAGAACATCTCAAAACTAGTATGTCAAATACTGTCACCAAGTACCTTTGCAGCAATAAGAGCACCTTGATATCAGCTTCTCTACAAAGTATAATGTTAAAATAACCAAAACATACAGATGGAATCATATTTTTCAAATAAAGAGGCTTGAGTACACTTCAATAGAAAACTCACATCAGAGTCTGTTTCAACATCAACAAGCTATGGGACAGGAAAGGGGACTTTTGTTCTACACAACAGTGCCACTCAGTGGTTAAACAATGATAGTGGACCGATAAACATGAAYGAACTGTGGACAAGAGGAAAAATTGAGTTTTGGAGTAGGGAATGATAATAGTGTAGGGGGAGGAAGGGAGAGAGAGAGATAGAGAAAGGGAGGGAGAGAGAAAGAGAGAGAGAGAGACAGAGACAGACACACACAAAAAGTTGCTATGGTAACTGTACCTTGGAGGTCAGTTAGAGTCTGGACAGGAACAGAAACCTGAGCATCGCTTCCTGTAACTATATCGCCTGGATTTCATAAGAAAAAATAATTAGATTCCATAGAGAAGAAATAAGAAACTTTTCTTTCATACTCAATGTTGTAATATTTTATCAATTACTAAAAATATAGCACAAGCTTAGAAAAATTAATATAAAATATTTTCAAGGAAAAAATAGTACTAGGGACTAAATCCAAGAGTGCTTTTTCACTGAGATTCATTCCAGTGTTTTTTATTTTTATCTTGAGACAGGATTTAACTAAGTTGCCCAGAGAGGTCCTGAAYTCAGAACCCTCCTGCATCAGCTTCCAGAGTACCTGGAATCAGGGTGTGCACCAACCATGCCCAGTTTAAGGAAATACATTTTTTTGTTTTGTTTTGGTACCAGGGATTGAACCCAGGGGCACTTAACCATTGAGCCACATCACCGGTCCTTTCTAAGAAAAATATTTTATTTAGAGACAGGGTCTCGCTGAATTGCTCAGGCCTCATTAAGTTGCTGAGGCTGGCTTTGAACTCTGGATCCTCCTGCCTTAGCTCCCAAATTGTTGGAATTACAGGCATGTGTCACCATGCCCGACAGGAAACAAATTTTTAAAAGAGTGTTTCCTAATAAGTTTTTGTTTGTATTTCCCAAAAGAAAAGTGAACAAGTCTATTATAATAGACTATAATACAGGAAACTTTCACAATCAAAAGATTTTGCTAAGCAGAGTTCATTGCGATTATTTATACATTCTTTTTTTTTTWAAAAAACTTTGAATCTGAAAGTTTATATGTCATTTATTCACAGACCTTTTTTTTGAAATTGATTTYTTTCTATATCAGACAAAATTTATTTTTAACTTAACTTGAAAACAACTTCTTCAGTGATAAAGTCTAAATAAGTTCTAACTTCATATTAGGTAATGAAAAGAGTTGCCACATGTACTTACAAATGTCAATGTTTAAAAATAAATCTGTGAACTGCATACCCTTCACTTGATATAATTATAGGCAAGATTTCATTTACAAATTGGACCTGTAGTAAATGCTTAAAATAAAGTAGTGCTCAAATTCAAAAAACCAAGTACAAATACAGACAAAGGAAAGAGGAAGGAAAAGAAAAAAAGAGTGCATTTTAAGAACACACAAAAGAAAGGAAAGGGAGCACCAACAGAAAATTCTGTGAAGAACCTAAGGTTCACTAATATTTAGAAGGAAGACTCTGTGGTTCTTTGATTTCCTTCCTGGATAACAAAGTTCAATAAGGAGCACAGTCACTGTCAACAGAATGCTCCTCTGGATATATCATCACCTATGGTATTTTGAGATTAATGAGCAACAGAGACTTTTAAAAAGGCATATATTTTCCATGTATGATAATTTATGATTAATGGACTTGCTTCTCCTTCAGCTTTTATATAAAATATATACAGTAGGTAAAAAAAAATCAAATTTTGAATTAAGTAACATGCCCTCAGCGTCACTGGCTTCTTGCTGCAATTATGATTTATAACATGGTCAATTCATCTGGAAATTGTTGGGTTGTAATTATATTRTCATCACCAAGTAATTAACAGTACACACATTTACATTCCCCTATAACTGAAATAAAATTTCTAAAAAAGAATATACCTGAAACTGTGGCAAACAGCTTCTAGTGGAAATGGTCAGGTCCTGAATTTTCATAATATAGTTAATTCTAAATTCACTGAACAATGGTAGGTCTGCTTTCTGTATACTTGGAGGAGATTTAGTTGGCTAATTCTAGATCATCTATTGATCTATATGTAGAGGTTGAAAACTCATTTTAACATAAATATCATTAATAAAATTATGGAGAACATCTGTGCTAACTCTTCCTTCCTCACTATTCGATCACAACACATACATKTATTACATAATGCATTTCAAACAACATGTGTGAATTTGGATTACAAACACAACTGTCCCCCCTATAAACACAAATATTTGTTAACTTATGAAAAACAAAACCATTTTCATCTTTATAAACAATAATTTTTCAAAACAATTTTCAAAATTTCCAGGAAAGTACACTAAATTATCTTCTCTCAAGGGCACTGAGTAGACAACTTTGCTCTAGAAAGTCAGAAATCATACCCTAACACAAGCCTCCTGGAAGGCTACTATGTTCACTGATTTCAGGTGATACACTTGCAGATGTGTCAGAGAGACAGCATAGAAGAATATTTGTGGGACTTATCAGCATAAAGAATTAATATTGAAGTATTTTTCATTGTAGAGTTAACAAATACATTTTTTTACTAAAAGAACCACAGATTTTTAGAGCTGGGGGACACCTAGGAATCAGTCCAAACCTTGTTTCAGGATGAGGAAACAGAGGGCTTCCATTGTAGTCTAAGGTTCTCCAGGAGTGAAGTCAGGAGCAACATCCAAGTACACTTTTGTAYTTCTATAAACTGTCTTTTTATCCTTTATTTTATTCAAACCTTTATGCAGGGAGGAGAATTAGCAGGAATACTTATTTGTATTTAATATGAAGGCAGATAAGCTTTTTTGGTAGAATGACATGAGAAGAATGAACCATAAGTAAAAATATGGAAGAGTTAAAATAAAGCCAGTTTCTTTCAGGACAGGGATCAGTTACAAAATGCCCCAGTGATACTCGTGTTCCAAATACTTTATTTAAGTGCTCTGTTTTCTCTTCATAACTGGGGATTAGTTTTCACCAATTGTTCCATCTCCATGCACTTCCTTTCTCACTTACGGTGATATTAATACTTGACATTTCCTTAGAGACACAACTTTATATTTCTATAATCATTTGGCTTGGTTCCTCAGAAAATTTAAGCTACAGCATTAACAGATTCTCTGACTCATTTGCCTGCCATCAGTTAGAATTACAACTGACTAAAGCTTGTTATCAAAGCAATATTGAAATCATATTTGTTTAGAACAATAAAATGTACAATTAAGAAATATACAAAATAACATTCATTTCCATATATAAAATAACATTCATTTCCATTCTGGAAGTGGGCACATCTCCTGGCATTAAATACATCTATAACATGATTCAAAGTCCCCTTTTCTTTAAATCATGTGTGACAGCTCTACATTAAAAGAAAACAGTGCAATTTTAAATGAGATAATCTCATGTAAGGTAAACTGAATGTGCTAACAAAAAGTGTAAATACTAATTATATCAAGTCTAATGTTTCATATAGGCAAAGACATATAGAAAAGACAGATAACATCGTATAAGCCATGGATGAATACAGATAAGCATGCCCATATGTGAGTATTAATACATTCATTAATTTGCATCACTGGGGAATAAAGTCTATTTAACTTTAGTGTTCCAACTTAAATGCCAATATGTAAAATTTTTAATAATTTCAAATGTAATCTTAAACAGAGTAGACAGAACAAAATTAAAGGTCTTGTACTGACAATATTCCTCCTTTTACTGTCAACACTAAGTGCTGAACACTGATGTAGCCCTGGGATCCCTTTTATGACACGAATGGGGCTTGGGTTAAGGCRTTTTTTCTGACACTAGATGGCTCCAGACTGTTATACTTTCTCAGGTCTTAGAATTAATTTTTTGGTATATTTTCTGCCATGATTTCACTATTTTTGTATTACAGTTTTAGCAGAGTTCCACCACTAAAAATAAAGGTAGCTGTTTCTAATCTGCTACAAATACAGGATCCTAACATATCTCTTTAAAAATAAGTAGAAAACAAGAATATAAAGATCCCAAGAAAGACCCTGAAGGGATCTCTTAGGAGTAAAGTGCAAGAGGCAGGTGGAGCTCTGAGAAAAGGCCCTGAAACAGAAGCAAGCTTAGTTGAGAGCCAGTAGCACATAGAGTCTTCACTCATCAAATGGGAGTTGTGGGCTGGATGGTCTCCCAGCTTTCCTCTGCTCTTACAGCCCATGGTGCTAACATTTGGTTCATGGATTCAAATGCTTATCTTGGTTACATGAGATTTTTTTTAGATATTTTTTTCCCTTAAGATTCTAGTTTTTATTCTTTAGAGGTGAAGCAGCTGCATGAGAAGCAAGAAGCTGAGTGGACTGCTTCCTCCAAACCATTGCAATGCACTGATCAATGCTATGACTGGAAAAGGTTTTAGACCTTCTCATTTCAGACTCTCTTCTGAAAGACAGCATTACTCTCTTTGCCAGCATTACTATAGAAAGTTGCAGAGAACACAGTCAACTGATTTAAAGTCCTGTCTTGTGACATTTCATACCATCACATATTATGGGGATCCACAGGCCAAAAATGCAAGTATACTAGGATATACAAGTTTAAAAAAATCTTAGTAAATTACCTGATAAAATGTTCTCAATTAAGAAAAATAGAGTATCTGATATTTCAGCTTGAAAAAGATCAAATGCAACAGATTTTAAAAAATAAGTGTTTTGCATTACTTTCTCCTTCTGGGAGGTTGGTTCCTCATAGGCTGGTGAGGAAAACCTAGGCTACCCTGTGTTTTCTGTGGATTTACTAGTAATTTTTTTCCTACCTTTGTTCAATTGCACTGGCATGCTTTCGGATTTCATCAGCCGCTGCTGCTGCTGCTGCTGCTGCTGCTGCTGTGGTTGCAAATGATGCCTCAAGGCTTCTGCTGAGGTCCTGGTGGGGAAAGCAGCAGAGGAGGAGTTGCCACTGTTACTCCCAGGTACAGGACCACCTGTACTGCCTGGGGCCATTGCTGGGGAAATCAGCTTTCTTCCAAAATTAATCAGGCTATTAGAAACTTTATTTATATTCAGGGGAGCACCTTTGGCATTGGTCCTAAAAAAGAAAAATGAAGCAAAGTGATATAAATGAGAGGATGACTTTATTTTACCAATACTGTTGGTATGAAAACATAACTTGCCATGCTTTGAAAAAGGCCATTTACTAGATGAGCTACATAAAGTAAAAACTTAAAGTGATCATAGAATAATGAAATACTGAGATTCTTAAAAACATTGCTTATGTCAAACAATCTTACTACTTTTCATTCATTACTCACTCAACAAATAGGGCTTATTATGTGCCAACACTATTAGGTTTTGAGGATACAGCTTCTAGTCTAGTAGAAAAGAAATGTATTAATAAAAATCACATAAATAARTATATATTTGAAACCTGTACTACACACTAGAAAAGAGAGGTGCAGGGCTTGGCATGTTCTGGGGTGCTTACAAAAGGGGGCACCTGTGAAATAAGCCTAAGAGTGGATATCCCACAAATCTAGGCACATGGGTAATAGGCCACATTTAATCTGATTTTAAAAACAAATGTTTCTGAGTGTCATGAAGTAAATTCATAAAAGTTATGCCACGCATCTAGTTCTTTAAAACTGCAATTACCCACCTGCCCCAGCATTCCATATCCTCTAACTTCACTTCTTAACAGCACTTTTCCTTATCTGACATACTATGTATTTATTTTGCTATCATTTGTCTACCTCCTTCAACCCCCAATTAAATCTAAATTTCACGAGAGCAAAGATTTTTGTATTTGTTAATACTTCTATATTGCCACGGCCTAGAACACTGTAGGTGCTTTAAGTGTTTGTTAAATGGTAGCTGCATCTACCCATGGTTGAAATCTTTCCTGTAACAGAGGAAGAAAAGTCTCTGTTCTTTGCAATGACCAACTTCTCCATTTGTGCTGAATTCCATCTCCTCTCCTCTTTTAATATTGTTACTCCACAGCCTCCTGTCCTGTACCATCATTTCCCCTTCTCTACTCTATCATTTCCATTAGCAAGCCAACATAGTGAGTGTGTATGGGTGTATACAATTTCTCCTTTCATGCCCCATTCCTATCCAGTTACCATTCCATTTCTTTCTCTAATTATGTTTTTTCAAGGTATCTTCATATGCTACTTCTGAAGTCTTTGGTCCATTAAGCTTTTGTGGTGGCCTCTTTGCTACCTTCCTAAAACCATTCAAGGTCACCAATGACTTCTGTATTGCAGATTTGAAGATTCATTCTTGTTTTACTCTACCACTCAGCAGCTATCAACTTCCTAACCACTCTCCTCCAACTTACTTTCTTGGGTCCTATGGTTTGCCAGCATCTGTGTTATAACTATCTGGCCAAATAGAAGGCACTGAACAAATAATTATTAAATGAACAATTACTTCCCCATTGATTCATGATCTTGCAGTATGCCTCATAGTAATACTCTCGAAGACTAGTTATGATTACAAATTATTTTAGTTGTAGGAAGTAGCCCAAATTCATGACAATACGCCCTCCACTTCCTATACCCCACCCCAGTACTAGGAATTGAACCAAGGACATTCTACCACTGAACTCCAACTCCAGCCCTTTCTATTTTTTGAGACAGGTCAAGTTGCTGAAACTTGAGAGTCTCTTGCCTCTGCCTCCTAAGTAGCTGGATTATAGATGTGTGCCACTGTGCTCAGCAAAAGTTTATATTTTTACTGCTCAAGTCATTAATAGAAAAGTGTTTTCTTTTCATAAAAGTGCAAAACAATCCATGTGATTTCAGTTCAAGTTGAATTTTACTATCATTTCCTTCTCTTAGATATATCTGGCAGCACACACATAGTAATTCTACTTTTTTATATGTCAGCTATAACATGAACATGACTACATATCACTCTGGATCTGAATGGATCCATATATTCACAACAAAGAGAACTGTAAGTTTTCTCTAATGGTATTAGTTAATGTTATGGGCTAGGTACYGGAGGCTTACACTACTTTGGAGATAGGAGAAATCAAATTTAAAACTTGGGATTCAGCTTTCTGAATAAAAAAAACCTATTCATTTATAACTCAGTGAATTGCAGAAAACTAAAATGGTTTCTTTTTGTACCACGTTTCRTCTTTAGAGAATTGAGTTATTTAATGGTCTTCTGAAAACTATGAAAAATAATGCTTCCTTATAGAGATAAGGATACACATTGCTTAGGCACCACTTATTTTCCAGTTTTTGGTTGCTTCCTAATGAAGTAGACCACTGTCGATTTACAGATACTACAGATTGGCAACAGGGAAAGCTTTCAATACATGTTTCCTGAGAAAAAAGAATGAACAAAATAAAAAGAACACATAAATTCTAGATTAAGTAGGCATTCACCTGGCATTATGTACTCCTATTTTTTGTGAGTGGTAGTAGAAAGAGGAGCTCTCATGATACTGAAGTTCTGTTGCATTTCAGTTTTACTTGTTTGCAAGTCAAGATTCATAATTCACAGATATGAAGAAGTTATAATGTTGTTACCCTTTTTTATAAACAAAAATGTACTAGTCAAATTCCCATATTGCCAGTTGTAAAATTTATATGTTGATAAAAGTACTAACAAACAGCTAGAGCATTATCAAGAGAATATGGTTAATGCATCTTCATTACTACTAATAACCATGGAAAACATATAGATCAAGCTCATACCAAGTAATTTTTCATCTGAATGGCTCTTAGAAGGAGATGAGTGCCGTTTTCCTTTTTTTGAACATTTTTCTGTTGTTGTTTTTAACTCTTCTCCCCATTATCCAATACCCAGAGCTTCCAGAAGCAGTTTTCTTTTCAAAATGACTATTAAAGGTTACTCTGTATTTTCTAGATATAAAAAAACTGAAAATTATGTACTTCTAGGGAAAGTATGCTGTCAATGGTTTCTTTTTTCATGCAAGTTTTTAATGTCAAAGTTAACTAATTTAGATCTGAAATACAAGTAGAAGTATTCTTCACATAAAATACTGAACAACTTCCAACAAGTACTGTGGCTGTGATGTGTACCATTAAATCATGTGATAATTAATGCAGCTGTTGATGATTTGATGGGACAATAGGGATTAGACTGGATTAAAGACAGAGTGCAATATAYAGTGGTACAAATAGTCAGGGGAACTTGGAGTTAACAAGACATTAAGTATTGAATCTGTTGAGTCATTCTGTGTAATCAGATCTTTCATTACTATTGTTTACTTACTGTTATTAAAAACAGCGCAACATAGAAGCAATTGTTTTAAAATTGTACCAAGAACTTAGTTTTGGCGCCACCTCATTTAGCAGGTCAAGTCAATAGCAACAGAGGCATTTTCTGAAGACCCAAGAATCTCTTCAAAATACCTGTACCATACCCCAGCTCGAAATTAACTTCATTGTTGGGCTCTTTTTGTTCAGTTTCTGAATCTATGAAAATGGAACACTATGATACTATGAAAAGAGGCTTCCTCTTCCCAGCCTCTCACTACCCTCTTAGTTTCATATAGTGTAGCTTTCTGACCCTCACTCAACTCACATGACTCTCAGGTCTCTAGTATCTTTGTAAATGCCAGAGTCATGACATGTTTTAACTTTTAAAACCTCTGAAACTTAAAAAAAAATTACCATCTTGCCACAACCTCTTATCTTCTGCTATCCAAATCTTGACATCATCCTGGTTTATCTCCTTTCTACTTAGAGACTTATTTTTTAGATATATTATATAGCCAATATTTATTTCACTTTCTGTAATACAATTTTGTTAGGTGCTTATCTGTATTTTTGTCAAATAATCAGTTTTCAGCTTATTYTAAATTATTTTTTCTCAGTATTCTAATTTATATTTTTCTTGTTATTTTTTTCCTTGTGTTCTCCAAGGACTTGGTTCGTTCATTCATTCACTCCCTCATTCATTATTCATTTTCTCTTTTTTCCAATAAAAGCATTCAAAGTTACATATTTGCACCATAATCTAGTGTTAAAATAAAAGGTTTTTCTCCCTGGTTTCCTTAATAGGTTGACACATTATTATTCGGGCACATCATAAAATTTCAAATGGTWAGTTAGGTTTGTGTTTAAATACATTACTCATTTTGTTTTATTAAGTAAAAAGACATGTCAAAAGAATGGAATTTGGAAAACATTCAAATTTTTCAAAATGATTGTAAAAATCACAAATTAGAAAATATTAAATACAAATATTTTAATCAATTATTTGGAAATAAATGTAGTTTGTTATAAGGGACTAGTAGAGTTCACTAGAAACAAGTCATTCCAAGGCTACTTTACTTCCTGTCTGATAGTGCTTAAGGTCTGTTAGACTGTGTCAAGGTAACACAGTATATATGGATATAATGGAGAAAAATGCATGCTTGTTTACATTGAACAACTGAACCCCACAATTCAATAAAAGCTCTTGGTAATGATATGTGTTTTAGACTTGGTTCACAGACTTGTTCACCAGTTCATTTTTAGATCATAATTTCTGTTAATAAGTTGTGTAACTATAGAAGAGTTATTTATCCTGTCAGGACCTAAGTTCTCTTATCCCTAAAACAAGGGAACTTTTATGACATTTTAGATSCCTTTAAGATAGAAAATCCCACAATTTTGTGGCTTGAAAAAGTAGGACACGTAGTAATCAACTTTTTTTTTTCCCTTAAAGACAGTGTCTTGCTATGTTGCCCAAGTAGGCCTTAAACTCATGATTCTCCCACCTCAATCTTTCAAGTAGCAGGGACAAAGGACTATGTGCCATCACACCTGGATGCTAATTTAATTTCAGACTAAAGGCTGCAGACAACCCCAGTGCATTAGATAAAAGAATCAAAATTTAAAATAAAGGTTAGAATGAAATATAAATTTAGCAGAAAAAAATTAACAAAGACAATAAAAAGCTCATGTAATTATGTTGACACCATGCCTACATATCACATATACAATGGGATAGCATAAACTGAACATGAGCCCAAATTTTAAGATATTATAACTCTCAAACATCAATATTTTGGTTCGGCTGACAAGATTACAAACCTATCGTGATTATTAAGAAAATTAGGAT